GTGTATGCGTGCGTGTGTGTGTGTGTGTGTGAAAAAAATAAAATAAAAAATATGTAGATAGATAGATAGATAAAAATAGAGAAAAAGAAACTGAAATTGAACCCTGTATACTAAAAGAGATTTTCATAAAATAAAACTAAACATAACGGATTAAAAAAAAAAAAAAAAACAGCAACAAAATTTAATTGTTTTTCCCAACCTGCCACATGTACCCTCTCTCGCTACACTATCACTTCTCATAGTTCGTGCGTTTCTCTTATATTGCCCTTAACTGATCGTTTGACATTAGACATCTCACTGTGTATCCAAAGTAGCGTTGACATCCGATAAATGAATTAGTTCATAAAAATAGGTCAGTTTTAGATTCAGTTCTCTGATGTCAATGTCGTCAATCGTCTTCAACCTGTTGTTTGGCAGTAGGCATCCTGTTGTACTAATCCAATGCACCATTGGCATCAGAGGACTACATCTGTTCACTGAAACATTGTATATTCGTTAATATATGAATATATATATATATATATATATATATATATATCGTCATATATATATATATATATATATATATATATAAATATTAAGTAGCCTCGTTGCGCCTATATATAATTGATTGACGCCTATACGTCATACAATTTGAAATGTTGAATATTAACTTACGCATGTGTTGTCGACTCCACCCATTGGGCAGACAAAACTTTTTAATTAACCTGACTATATGAACAAAGCTTAGTAATTTTAACCATATCACCCTTGCGACTTAATGAAAGACTAAGAATTCAATGTTTTTCAACTTATCGTCACAAGTGATGTGGTAAAAAAACATTGAAAACTAATAATGTGGGCTCATAATACAAACATATAAAAAACAAACAGGCAAAAAAAAACAAATAACAACCTAAAAAATATTAAAAAACCCTATAACAAAAATAATTTTTGAATTCAAATAACCATTCAACGAATTTGATTTTTTTTTTTTTTTTTAATGGTCCAAATATGTATAAAGCGGATACGTTTTACACCCTAAAATACATATATATAAAAAATAAATAAAATAAAAAAACAACAGAAGACAATATGACAGTTTTAGTTAAAAATATGACGAAAATGACACTGCTTATCAACCAAGTCACGGTGTGACTCGTGTCATTGATGTGGTTTGAATATGCTTATTTGTTTTACTGGGTTGTAAAAGAGCGCTCCCCAACTACAACCCAATTAAAAAAAAAGAAAAAAAACGTCCCCATGTATTTTCCACAAATAATGAAAAAGTTAAAACGCCCATATACATCGATTGCTCACTAACCTTTCAAATGTATAAAGCCACAAAAACGGCACCAACCATTTGCAAACATTTCACATTAATCGAAAGTGTGTTCTCTACCAAATGGGATATAGTACACTTTTACTGCAAAGCATAAAAACCATGAAAAAACATTCATGCCTCGCCATAAATCAAATTGAGGTCTGTGGTGGCAAAACCCCCAGACACCGAACCACCGATGTCGTTTTCACTCCTCGTCGACCGATCAACGTTAGTTGCCCCACCTCCAACTGCGGGTGAGACCGCCCCAACTATCGGTTTTCTGCGAACAAAAAACAATCTGGTAAGGCTCTCGTTCGACACCACTACAAATCGTTACTTTGTAAGGGCGCCCTTACGACGAGAAAGTGATTAATTTTCCATATCCTGTTTTTCGTTCTACAACCACTTATGAAAACCCTACACTTACTTACGCGCACTTATGTTTTAAGTGCCTCCATTTGCGTTCTAAGCGGTCGAAAGAGGAATCCAAAAGTCTGACCCGCAATTGCACGAAACGAAATCATGTTCACCACCTGTGGGCCCGTTTTCGCACCAACTGTTTGCTTCACACACATTGCATTCTCAAGTCTTTGCGTACGTATTTTCGACGTCGCATGCGTCAATACTCTACCGTTGCGACACGACACATGGCTTCGCATGGCCGACGTGTGACGTGTTTTCGCAAGGGAGTTCGAGTATGGACGGCGGCGGAAGGGATGAGGTGGCAATGAGGAGACTGTCACCCCGTAAAAAGACCATGGTCACCAGTGTCGTCCTCGTGGTCTATCGGCACATGGAGACGGTGAACGGACTACGGTTGGCGGTTGGGCGGGGTAAGGGGAGGAGGGAGGTAGGCGTAGAGAGACAGACAGCAAGGACGACACTGCCGGGCACCACACTACTATCTCACCCGCCTGGACACGGACCCAAGACCGCCAACGACCATCTCACCCTCCTCCACACGGACCCAAAACTGCCAACGACCATCTCACCCGCCTCTACACGGTAAGTCGGCGCTAGGAGGGGCACGTAGCAAATTAACGGAGATTTTCGGGGCATCTCGAAAAAGTTTCCAAAAACCTAAAAAAAAAAAAAAAAAGGCAAGTGTAGGACGGAGGGGCGGGTGCGGCAGTGTCCGTTCAAGTGGACCATTTTCGTGTCCGTAAAAGAACCCGCCCAACCAAAAGAGCCGAAATGGACCATTTTCGTGTCCGTGAAAGAACCCGCCCAACCAAAAGCGCCGATACCCACGTGAAACCTATGGAGAAAAGGGAAGTTGGGGTCCCCGTTTTCTCTTACGGGTCGACGGGAGCGGGCCCAGCTTTTTCGTCACTTTTACGGATTCTTGTTACGTAAGTAGTATGGGATCAGACCCTGAGATTGTTTTTTTCGAGCGCGTGCCCAGTGCCGCCAAAACGGAAGGTGGGGTCCCCGTTTTCTTTTACGGGTCGACGACGGGATTGCCGCGTGTGTTTCAGCTGGGTTGCCAGCAGAAGAAAGGACGAGGGGTGGGGAAAGATTCCACTGCATGTTTGTTGTGTCTATGCGTATTTGTGTGTGTGTAATGTGAGTGTGCGTGTGTACGTCTGAGAGAGAGAGAGAGAGAGAGAGAGAGAGAGAGAGAGAGAGAGAGAGTTGTTGAGTCGCTGTGAAAGCATCCCGGTGCGGCGTGCCACGTAGAAGCGTAGAAGCCTTGCGAGTTCGAAAGCCATGTCGCCCGGACATGGTGCCACGTGTTCTCATGATCATGACTGCGGCGCACACTCCTGCGGGGCCGATTGGTCACTCTACAAGACCGTGGATATTCCAAGGGTAAGTCAGCTACATCTTTATAGATTTCGTGGTCGTCCGTTAAAAAAAGGGACGTTCTAAAAAGCGAAGAAAGAGGAAAAAAACAAAGTAACGGCTCCAACTTCTTGTTTCCCTGACCAAGCCTGCAAGTGAGGCCCCGCACATGCTGTTCTCTCGAATAGAGCCCAGGGTCGTGGGAAGTATCAACAGGTCACGCACGAGAATGGATCCTAATCTACTGGCGATGATGATAGGCCGGTTTGTTTTCTCTCTTCTTTTCTCATTTCTTCTTGTTTCTCCCCTCTCTCTCTCTCTCTCTCTCTCTCTCTCTCTCTCTCTCTCTCTCTCTCTCTCTCTCTCTCTCTCTCTCTGTGTCTCTCTCTCTCTTTTCCAACAAATGCCATCAACTCAGCATGTCAGCATAGAGAAACGCGCGCCATTCGAACAATATCACCGTCTGTTCTCGGGGCGCACACCGTCTGTTATCCGTCCATGTGAAGACCCCCTGGACCGCGGACCTTCCCCTGGCGACAAGAAAGATGAAGGGATGCATCTTGCCATACCACTGTCGAAACGAGAAAAGAACGGATGCATCTACCCCAGAAAGTGGTAAGATGCGTCCGCTGCTATTCATAGTAGCGGATGCATCTTGCCATTCTCTGCGGGCAAATGCACTCGGTACTTTTTTCGTTTCGACAGTGGTGCGGCGATGCCCGAAGAGGGGAAGGAGGTCGAGTCGCCTCCAGGTCAGCAGGAAAGCTGGGCGAAGAAAGGGATCCCATTGCACTAAAGCGTCACTCTTACGTGACATCCACGCCGGGGGTAGTAACCAATTGGATGTCACACTTACGTCAAGTCACACTTACGTGACATCCAATTCCCGATTCAGAAACTCGTTCAGCTCGGTGGATGTGACAACTCCAACAAATAAACTCGTTCAATGTGATTTCACGTTAAAAGGATGGGGACATCCTTGCGCGCGCAGGGGCTATGCTAATCACACTTACGGACATCCGTTAAAAGGATTGGAACGATACACAGAGAGAGAGAGGAGATTAGCAAAATGGCCCCTGCGCGCGCAAGGATGACACGCATACATCGAGAAAAATGGTCAAAAAAAAAAAAAGAAAAAGAAAAAGAAAAAGAAGTAAAACAACTCCATCTGCGACTAACTCTTCCTCTTCCCGCTCACCTGATTGGACGCCATTTTTTTGCTGCTGTTCACCGCCCGGCCCCCTTCAACGGGATTGAGGGGAACATCAGAGAGGGAGGTCGCCTCTGCCGAGCGTCAGTGAGTACAGCGGCGTCCTCCCTCGCTGCGAATTCCTCCTCAAGGCTATGCCGGCAGCCAAAGAGCTTTCTTCTCTCTTCTGTTCTTCTCTCTTCTTTTCTTCTGTTCCTCTTTTCTTCTTTTCTTCTTTTTCTTCTTTTCTTCTTTTTCTTCTTTTCTTCTTTTCTTCTTTTTCTTCTTTTTCTTCTTTTTCTTCTTCAGATGATAGCGCGTCTAATTTTAGGGGCAAAGGACACTCAGAAGATGGGTGGACAATAACGAGGAGGAGGACGTGATGGCGAGCGGAAGAAAAGAAGCGGGTAAAAAAAGGATTTCTTGTGGTGAGGGAGGGGGGGGCAAAAGAAAGAAGGTATCTTGTTGCCGGTAGGAAGATAATCCTGGAATTTAGTTTTATTTCTTTCTTTCCTTTCCTATCTGTCTCCATCCTCGCCCCCCCCCTCCCCCCCCCCAAAAAAAAAAAAAGAAACAGAGGTAGAGGATCGATCGATCGATCGATCGAGGGAGCACCCTCTTACAAGGATGCAATCCATAAACTATGGAGGTAGTCCAGATTCGAATAAAATCCGAACTCCTGATTCGAACAAGATTCGATCTCGTGATCCGATGCGTAACAGTTGTTGGTGTTTACGATACTGCAGCGGGCGGCTCAGGTACATATAGTGGGCGGCCTTGTACGCAAGAGGAGGTTCTGAACAGGGGGAGTTGTAAGAAAAAAGATAAAAAAAACGAATTATTTTTTTCTTGTTTTCTTCTGTTTTTTTCGCCTTTGCGCTCTGATATTCATGTGACGATATATAGTAGGAATGAACCTTGTTTTTTTTTTTTTTTTTTGTGAAGTAGTAGTACTAGGAATGAACCTTGTTCAAATTTGCCTTGCGCGATTTTGTACACCTCCCTCTCATTAATTACGACCCATCGGTGATCGACTGAGGGAGTACTCGACGAAGAAGAGAAGAGACAGATTGAATGTTGTGGTTGCGTTGTTTGTAATGTAAGAAGGAGAACAGATTGAATGTCGTGGTCGAATTGTTTGTACTCTTGACCAGTAAACTCTGTGTAGGATTTTTTTGGATTTTTTTTTTCTGCTGGTGAGAAATCTTAGGAAACCCACAGCATTGTTTTTTTTTTTTTTGGAGACAAAAGAGAGAGATGACAGCTATTTTTGCAGAGGCGGTGAATTAGGCGCGGCGAAGCGGTGAAAGCGTCGCCAGCTCAACTGGTGGAATGCCTTGGAAAACCGGTTCACTGGAGTAAGATAGATGGATGGATGGATTTGCATGGATGGATGGATGGATGGATGGATGGATGGATTTGCATGGATGGATGGATGGATGGATGGATGGATGGATTTGCATGGATGGATGGATGGATGGATGGATGGATGGATGGATGGATGGATTCGCATGGATGGCGGATGGATGGATGGGTGGATTCGCATGGATGGCGGATGGATGGATGTATGGATTTTTGCATGGATGGATGGATGTATGTATGTATGTATGGATGGATGGATTTGCATGTATGGACGGATGGATGGATGGATGGATGGATGGATGGATGGATACGGCAAATGGAGGATGGATGGATGGATGAATGGATGGATGGATGGATGGATGGATTCTGCAAATGGAAGATGGATGGATGGATGGATGGATGGATGGATAAGACAAAGAGGAGATGGATCACTTTCATGCAGGGTTTGAGCACGTGGATGATCTATACAGGGTTTGAACACGAGGATGGTACGTCAACAGGTACTAGTTGAACACGAGGAGATGGTCCTTCCCTAACCTAACAGCTTCAACACTGTGTTAATCGCCAAGTGTTTTCTGATGATTTCCACGTCAACTTTTTTTTTTTATCTAAACCGTTTAAACTGATTTCACATTGTCAACCACAACAAGGGGATTCGACAATCTGACAAGTTATCCATCTTCCAGCTGTCTTACCCATCCACCTTATTCCTCCATCCATCCATCCATCCATCCATCCACCTACCCACCTACCTGTCCACCCATCTGTACATTTTTGCATGGATGCTTGGTTGGATGACTTATACACATACCACATCCATGCATGGCTGAATGGATGTATTTATGCACGGATGAACGGATTCATCCTTGCATAGACATATCTATCGAGCCAGTCATTCACCCACCCAACCATCCACGCATCCGTGCACGGATGCATGGATGGTTGGGTGGGTGAATGACTAGATGCATCCATGCGAATGAGTAGGTGGGTCAATGCATGGACCCATCCATCCATTCTCCTATCGAATGCGTAGGAGATCCGACTATAGGAAGGAACTTAACTATCCTCTCGGTAATTCGTAGGCATCCAGCGGATCATGGGCTGTGATATCACAGCCCTCGATCATGTACATTGATTGGTTTGTTGATAAATTTGTGTTTTGGATTGATTAATTGGATTTATATGAAGTGAAACGGCGATTAGATCATCGAGAATCGTGGCAAGCAGGTCCCTGAGCGGCAAAATGCCGCAACAACGGGACCTTGTATGGTGCTAAATTAGGGACACACCTGCAACAGTAGCTCGAAGCTTAAATAGAAGACAGGCTTTTCGCGTATCAATCAATCTCCTTCTCCAGTTACTTCTTCTGCTTCTCTCCTCCTCTCCTCCCTCCTCCTCTTCTCCTCTCCTCCCTCCTCTTCTCTCTCCTCTCCTCTCTCCTCTTCTCTCTCTTCTCTCTCCTCTTCTCTCTCCTCTTCTCTCTCCTCGTCGTCCTCCTCTTCCTCCTCGCCCTCTGTTCTACTCCTCTTCCTCCCCTACTCCTCTTCCTCCTCTTCCTCCTCTTCCTCCTCTTCCTCCTCTTCCTCCCCTACTCCTCTTCCTCCTCTTCCTCCCGTACTCCTCTTCCTCCCCGATTCCTCTTCCTCCTCCTCCCCCTCCTCCTCCTCTTCCTCTAATTAACAATGGTCGCTGAGCATAAGCCGTGAGCGATGATATCCTCACCATCTCCGTGGATGACGGTTGATGACGACGGCGATGATGATGGCACGTTGCTGACCGATCGTCGATCTTCGGTTCGTCGATCATCAGGTCGACGATAAGGATCAACGAACTGTTGAGTATCGGCTATCTGCTGATCAACGGTGGCGATGGATGGTGATCACGATCGTCGATCAACCACCGATGAGAGATGATCAACGATTATTTATCAATGATCGATCATCGTTGATTACTACTAACATTGATGATGATCAACGGTGGTGGTGGACGGTGATCCTGATGGTCGATCAACCATCGGTGAGATGATCGTCGTCGATTACAGCAGTTGAATGACAAGGCCATCGATGAGTGGTGATCAATGGTGGTCATGATCGGCGGTCATAGTTGATTGGTAACAAGCTCGTTGATGGTTGATTGATTGAACGACAGCCAATCACCGTCGACGATGTGGATGATCCCATGAGCATCAGATGGACGATGATAATGGATCGATGGATGGATGGATGGATGAATGAATGATACTTGATGAACGTCAATTAATGTGTATATCCATCTGGGGATAAGGGCGTGGAGGGGTTGGTGAAGAAGGGGAGAGTAGGAGGGGGACGGTATCCACTAAGGGGCATGTTCGGACAAGGGACTTTTCCTACTGAATCTTGACGAAAATGCCGTCATATCCATAAGTCCTATTTTTAGCACCGCCGTCAGAGACAGGCCGACAAGAGGTCGGTATTCGTCTTCAGCCGCGTTTGCATTC